CTCACTCAGACTGTGGTGAAAGAAGTAAGGGTGTAAACAGAAAAACCATTATCTAAACAATTTAAGTATTATCACACTTAAAGTACTTACAGAGTCACCACTGAAATTAATGGACAATTTATACTTCATCACTGTCATTTGCATCTCTGCAAACACAGGGAAACTATTAAGCCTACGCTTCCACAGCCTCTGTTGAAGGCTTTTTTCACAGCTGTAACAACAAAAGTATGAAAAGTAAATGCTGGAATTCTGGAAGGCAGCTAAAGTGTCTTTTCAGCCCTTTCTCTTCCTGGCTGACATAGTGCACTTTTCCAGATGCTTTGCTCGCAAAGCTGAAAATCCCAACTCAATACTGTCCTAAATCCCAACTCAATACTGTCCTATTTTAGTTCCATTCAGTGTGCAGCGCTGGTATAAAGTGATCTTCCATAAAAGTGGTAATATCAGAACAAGATCAGAAGGAAAAAAAATGAATTTGCTGTGAAGAAAAATGAACATAAAATCAGTCAGAATAGAAATGTCATTGGAACGTGTTTTCATAGAGGAAAATATTTACTCACTTGTGCTTTTGAGAAAAATTTGTACATCTATCCACCACGTCATCGTTGTGAAGGTTGTACCTTTTCAGAGGCAATTAGCCATCCATTTCAGACTTACTTGCTCACTTCAATTTCCTCATTTCTCCACCCACCTGAATCCAACATACTTTGACATTTTCTCTTATTAGAATGCAAACTCATGCATTTAGAAAAGCCAAACAACGAAAGGCCCCAAACCAGCCTGAAATCTGTTTGTTAAAGAATGGATTGTGGAAGTTTACTCAAAACACAGTTTTTTATTTCTATAATTTTAAACAAAAATATAGCTGTCATGAGATACTAATTCAAATTTTCAAATATTCATCACCATTTTCCTGTTCCATCTGAAAAGAAATTGCTTTAGCATTCAGAACAGTGGCAAGATATTGAACAGCATTACAGCTTTTAGCCTAGCACTTTGCCAGAGAGAAATTGTCTCTTACAACACACTATTATTCTATTTTAAGAATCTTAAGCAACGTGGCTTTCATCACTTGAGTTGGAAGGTTATTTAACACACTACTAGACCTTATGACTAAGAAGTATTTCCTGATATTATAGCTACATCTTTCCATTTCCAAAACTCATAGCAGTTATCATACTTCAACTCATTCTAAGTAATCCTTCTTTCATCCAGTGCTCTACAAATGAAAATGTTCCATGGTGCTTAATGAGGTGTTTCCCATGTGATGCCTGCAGCACATAACAGTCTATTCTGCTGTACATAAAAGTAATTATGTGGGAGACCACTGATGAGTGGTGTTCCTCGGGGGTCTGTATTGGCACCACTATTATTTAACAGCTTCATCAGTGATATGGGCAGTGAAATTGAGTGCACCCGCAGTAAGTTTGCAGGTGACACCAAGCTAAGTGGTACAATTGACACGTGGGAGGGAAGGGATGCCATACAGAAGAATGTGGACAGATGTGAGAGGTGGGCCTGTGTGAAACTCATGTAGTTCAACAAGGCCAAGGGCAAGGTGCTGCAGCTGACTTGGAGCAATCCCAAATGTCAATAAGGGCTGAGGGAGCTGGGCTGCATGGACTCTGGCTGCCTTGCGTGTGCAGCATGTAAGCACTTGAAAGTGGATTTTAAATGGCCAAATGGAGCAGTGACCCTGGACTCCAGATCAGCTCCCTGACTCAGAAGCTGGTGGCAGGCTGGATGGGCTGGATGCCAGAGATGTCCCTGTAGTTCACACTCCATGGCATAGGATCTCCTAGGAGCAGAGCCCCACTACAGCTGGTGGCATGGTCGTTGAAGTCGGTGTGTTATCAGTGAGCATCAGCTCTGCTTATACCCATACCCCAGGGGTAAGAGTATAAGAAAGAGCAGAAAGCAAGCAGGCAAGTGCTGCACAGCCTGCCCTGTCCCTACCATGGGAAAAGAGCACAGTCCTGCCACTGCAAATCTGTTTGAGTCAGTAAGAACATGCAAGCTATTGCCAGGAAGAGGTGGCTGAAGAGCAAAGATACAGCCCTGCTCTTAGAGTGGTCAGGGGAAGAGGAGAAACCACAGTGCCATTAACAGATTTCCCCACAGCACAAATATCACATCTTACTCTAAATAATTGCGGTTTTACTCTCTTGATGGCATTTCATCAGTATCAGTATGCCAAAATGAGATGCTGCTTGGGATTTCTGAAAAGAAATGTAACTGTCACGAGCTAACACCACGAGACATCAGGCAGAGAAAAGTAAGCACAGGACCTCTTCAAGAACCACCATTTCCCATAAAACACTCTGCCCCCAGAACAAACCTATGTTTTCCTCCCACCCAGTAAAAGCCATCTGCTTTTCAGAAACCTACAGTAGATAGTGATTATTTTTATGGCATATATAAGACCTTGAGGTGAGCCCCGTCATTTTCAAGTGGCAGGCCCTCCATTTATAACATATGAAGATCTGTAAGATATTTTCAATTATTTCTGTCTCACTGACACACAGTGATGCTGCTATAATAGGAAATTGTGTTATCACAGATCTTTGAAGATTTCTGAAGTTGGATCATTTTGCATTTTCTACCCTACTGAGCTAGGAAATTAACAGTAAAACTTTACCCTGCCCTCTACTAAGCCTGATTTAGCCAAAGACATGATCTCAGGTAGTAACTACAGATTCAACTGTTTATTTAATTGAAATGAAACCATTCTTCCAGCAGACAGAGAAGGGAAGAAATAATATGTTATGCCAGATTCCTGAGTCAATGCTTCTCCCTACATTCCCTACTTTCTCGGTGTGCTGAAGTGCATGCTGATCTGTGTTAATATGCTGCAGTAGAATGGAAGGCAATGATTTGGTGCTCCTTGGGTGTTGGGCACCTAATTTAACTCTTGCTGGCTAATAAACTTCTGAGGAAAGGAAGGAAAAAAGATGATACAGTTTCACACTGATAACTAATTCAGCAGTAAGGAAACATTTTTTTTCTATCATATGTGAAAGAAAGCTGTTCTAACAGCAGTGATTAGTGGGAGTTGTGTTGCCTTTACTACAAAGAAAATGGTTTGATGGATTCTTATATAATGACTCACCCAAGGGCAAATGTTCTGAATACAGGATCCCCTTGGAAAAAACCTTTTTTCCCTCTCTCAGCCCCGACCAAGAGGAAGCACTATCCATTTGGATTTAAAGACAAATTATCCACTTTGAATTAAAGATAAAATCATTGTGAAATCTGTGCCAGGCAGGAGTGGATGTCACAAACCACATTAGAAGATGACTCTATGGAGGTGCTCATTCTCTTACTCTCCCGTGGAATGTAGAAAAATTGGACAACTGTTCAGATGAGCTACACAACTTGTGTGCAAAAGTAGAAATGACAGGTCCCAGTTTTCATCAGGTGACAGGCTGAGTTTGCTTCTGCATGAATTTGTAGGAGAACACCTCCTCTGGGTAAATTTCATATCTTTCCAGAAATGTTCTTACACACGTTGGTCACAAACTCCTAATCTTAATGAAGAGGATGGTTATCATCCTCAACTAAGTGAACCAGAATAAAACGTATGCATCAAATGCTTCCACATCCTTTCCAGGTTCAGTTTTTAAGTACAAAGTTTTAAGTACAAAGTTTTCATGTACAAAAACAGAATATACACCAGAACATACAAATGAAATCAGCTTCTTTTAAGATGAATAAAGAGTCAAATGCAGCTTTCTGGGTCTCAGCTTCTTTCACAGTTCTTGAACTGAAATCAAATGACTGATTCCACAGATGAGAGCATTTTCGTTTTACAGAATTCTCAAATGAATGAACCTGTATACATCAGCTGTGTTCAAGGATAGTGTTGTGACTACATGCGGTGTGTTTTTAAGATTCACACCAGAAATTGGTAGACATCAACATTTCTTCCACAGATACCACTTAGATCTATCAGAAATTAGATAATTCTATCCTTAACAATGTCTTGGTGTAATTAAAGACACACAGAGTACCACCAGCTAAAAAGAAATGCTTTCCAAGGACCTAAACATAGGGCGAAAATGTAAAGCAAAGGAGATTGACTACTCTCTAAGTACAGCTCATCCAGAAATAAATTGAAATGAGCAATCAGTCCAACAGTTAAAAAGGATATAATTGTATGTTTGTGAACACTGAAAAAGTCAGAGCTCCCTGGACACATCAGTATAAGAGAGAAAAGAGAAAATCCTTGGGGTGTTCTCATTTTACTTATTGTCATTCATTTCAAATTAATACAAACATGGAAAGATTGGAAAGATTTTGGAGCCTGCAGCATCTTGTCTCCTGTGGCACGTTATGTCACCTGCTCCCCTGTCTGCACTCCTCCCAGGCTGATAACACTTGCTTTGATATTGACACAGTTCAGGCTCAATCTGGTCTTCAAAGACAGAAAAGGGGCATGCAAATCCCTCAGTCTCCCTTTCTGCTCCAAGCCCAAGGCACGCAAACACTTCCCAAGGACTGCACACTCCAGTGGGCATTACTTTCTACTTAACAAAATTAATGGTTGTTACAGAAAATAGGATTTGAAAAGACATTTCAGCCATAGGATCTTTCCAAGTCTGGAAACGAGACAATAGCCACAATAACACTGCTGATCCCACTTTATACCTCCAGCATTATACCATCAATTTTGTAAACCAAGTTTATTACTCTGCATGTTAAGGGACAGAAAGAAATGGATGAGAATGACTGTTGTTCATTTTAGATGCTTGGTATTCAAAATTGTTCATGGCTGCAATGTGCTTAGCAAATACAGTTTGCTGTGATTATTTACTTGCTTTACTTGTACAAAGGGATAAAAACACACACACACACAAAAACAAATAGAAATATGCTTCAGGCTCACTCTTAAAGCAATTTTCTCTCATCAGGGAAACCAACTCCTATGTTAATGTACAACTCAGTGGCACTGAAATGATTAATGAGTACTGCAGATATTAAATAAGTCCTTGTATGCAAACTCCAGTCTGGACAATCCTTTTTATACGCCCCAAAAAGAAAGCCAATTTATAGACTCACGGTTGGCTGTCCTGCTTTGATCACTCTGAGCGCTGTCATTTGACTGGTTGCTGGAGACGGAGGATACACTTGAGCTCCTGACAAAACCAAATGCTGCCAGCTTGGCTGCTGGCAATCGTGAGTAACCTGGAGGGCGAAGTGCAGACGGACACGGCTTGGGGAGATTTGACTTTGCAGCATTTGGACACGGGACTTTCTTAAGATCAACTGAAAGAAGGAGAAAGAACTTTTATCAAACAAGCTCATCCAGGACATACTAAGTATTGCCAAATAAAACTTGGTATGAAGACTGAATAGAAGTTTTAAGGGCTGCTCAAAAACTGCAGTGGTGTCTTACTCTTTGCTCTACTAAAAAGTAATACTCTGAAGCAATTACAGGTTGCAATAATTTTTAAAATGTGAAGTGCAGCAAGAACCTGTGATGCATAAAGTCGAAATTCCAGCAGAGTAATGTAGTTCAAGTCCGCTACTTTCTTAAAAATATCTTCTTTTATGCTGTATCATTTTCTACTTCTACATTTCTTATGTGTCAATTAAAAGAAAGTCACACTCAGACAAACACTCTATACTTAGCCTCAGTTTTGGAAGCTATTACAGAATGCCAATGAATCTCCTCAAGGACACAGGACTTCTTTGCATTTCATCAAAGAAAATACTTCTTTGAAGTCTTTCTTTCAAATTTTGCTAAAAGAAAATGCCCTCCTCTTGCACCAAGCCCAGAAACAAGGACATGCCCTGGGAAGTTTACTTTTTTAACACACCACTAGCTATTTCCTCTGATAGTGTCCAATTCTCTGTAAAATGTCAGCTATGGGAATGACATATCCCAAATCTCAGACAACTGCCAATAGAGGGCTTACAGAGGATGGAGTTAGTCAACAACAACAGTTTGGCTACCATGTCTGCTCTGGTAATGCCAGCAGGTACCTCCCTCTGTTTTGTGTCCTCCTAGCCCATATCCTGCTGTTCTTGCTTAGGCAAACTTTTCTAGGCAAATCCAGAAGATGGGTCCAAAAGGTCCCAAACTGTACTCATGAAAGAACTGAAGGTTGAGTTTGGCTGGTTGAGTGTGTTAGAAGAGAAGGCAGCATTACAGCTGTCAACATACTTGGCCAGAAAAGTCCACAAAGTTGACTTTCTGTTCCCATTTGGTGAACACTGTTCATGCATCATCCTGATGTATACTTCAAAGGATGCAGCAAACATTAATTATATAAAGGAAAAGTAGAAATTAACCACACAGTAAGAATATAGTCTTCACATTATTACACTATTTAATTCTTTTGTAAACTATGTAGGTCAAAGCCTTATTAATTTTAATGAAGCATTGCACTTTGATGAGAGTTTACAGAAAACAAGACTAACTCCTTTGAGTAGAAAAATGTTATGGGGATTTTGAAAGATAGTAATGTACCTCATGACAGTAACAACATTACGTCTTTTTTTTCAACAGAACCAACCTTTTCTTTTGAAATTACAATAGATGTAACATCAAGGAAAAAAAAAGAGTTTGGTTTTCCTATAAAACATAATCCTATAAAAGACATTAGAAAATGCTTCTTGATCAACAAATGAAATAATTTCTATACACAGGTTGCTCTGAAAGTAATGTGTTCTGTTTAATTCCACAGAAATGAAAACAGATATAAAAAGGCCATTAACACAGTTTGAGAGAGTATATTCTCAGCTACAAAACACTACAACATGGTCACCACCATTAGCTACATGTCAGCCACACAAAGGCTGTGGATGCAGTTTACCCAGCTTTTAATAAAGTCTATGACTGTCTCCTACAGATCCTCCTGGAGAAGCTGGCAGCCCGTGATTTTGATGGGTGTACACTTCCCTGCTTGGACAGCTGGGCCCATGGAGTGGTAGTGATGGGCTGACAGATGGACTAGATCATCTCAGTGGTCTTTTCCAACCTTGATGATTCTATGATTCCATGACTCTATTTGAGTGTCTACATAAAATGTGGGATTGAGGTCAGTTCATGCCAGTGTTGCACTGGTGGTAAGCCCCTGATGTGAAGCAAACAGGAGGATCCATGGCAAGCCCTGCATCTCTGTCTATGCAAGGGAATGCTGGACCTTAACTGTGGAGACACCTGCACCGAGTCCCCAGGCTGTCTCCTCTCTGCACTGCTGTGTGACCACGTGCCTACAGCCAGTGCTGTGCTGAGCACTGCAGGACAGGTGTGGAAGCACAGGCACCACCACTGAAGAAGGAATTGCTTAAAACTAGTCTGAGAGCTGGGGCTATTCACCTGGAGAGGAGAAAGCTGTGGGGAGACCTCAAAGTGGCCTTTCAGTATCTAAAGGGGGGCTGTAAGAAAGAAGGGGATGACTCTTTAGCAGGGTCTGTTGTGATAGGACAAAGGGAAATGGTTTCAAAATAAAAGAGGAGAACTTTAGACTGGATGTAAGGAAGAAGTTTTTTACAATAAGAGTGGTGAGGCACTGGCACAGGTTGCCCAGAAAGGTGGATGCCCCATCCCTGGAGACACTCAAGGTCAGGCTGGATGGGGCTCTAAGCACCTGATGGAGCTGTAGGTGTCCCTGTTTCTAACAGGGAGTTGGACGAGGTGGCCTTTAGAGGTACCTTTCAACTCAAACAATTCTACAGTTCTAGGCATTTAGTGACAATCTCAGCACCTTGCAGCACCAGAAAATGCCCACCCATCTCCACCTTTTCTTTGAATCCGTTCTCTTAGATGTGCACAGATGATCTGGTAGTGTTACTCACACCTATGTGCTTATGGACTTCTCAGCTTGTGATTTCAATTGAAATTTCCCCTGAACTAACCATATTTTGTGTCTTGAACTCATGATCAACTTTAAGTTATTTTTCACTTCTCTTCTTTGTAATCCAGCTCTTCTGTACCACAAGGACCTGGGGGCAGAACATTATCCTTATCAGAGATGCACTCAAGTCCTTAAAGCTAAGTCAGCTTGTGTCTTTTTACTCACTAAAACACACAAGGCATCAGCCTTGTGCACCCATTTTCTTTCTAAATACCATCAAGTTTTAAGGTGGGGATTCTTTCTGTCTCTTAGAAGTATAAAAGCACTCCTGCAAACATGGTCTGAAAGTTCAAAACAAAAGTTATATTAATGAGAAGTTTTCATTTTAATAAAAATCTGCCAAAATAAGCTAAAAAAAAAGGCAAAAATCTTTCCAGCTACTTCACTGAAGCTAATTATGGAATTAATTGTCTGTGTGGCACACAAGTGATTTTCTGTGACACCTCAAACTGTTACCATCTAGGAACATGAAAGCACTTTGAGGTAGAAACTGATTGACACAAAGCAGATGTGTCTGTGAGCCTTAAGAAGAGGCTGAGAGAGACTTCTGCATCTGCACTGTACACAGATCACATCTCCATGCTCATGTATAGCTAAGGAGCAACTTTAATGTGGCTTCTCCATGAAAGCTGAAATAGCTTTTAGCTAAAACAAATGAAAAGTTATAGGAATGGATTATGGAGATGCGTTCATATGAGGAAAAGTAGCAGTTCAAGAGTTCAGCTCCACTTGTGATTCAGAATCTATGTTAAGCCTTTGCTTTCTTGGTGGGGTTTGTTGTTGTTTTTCTCTTTTTTTTTGATGAACATTTCTCTAAGAACTTCAGTCATCAGACACAATTTGCTCTCAGGGAGCATATCTTCTTTTAGATGGTGCTCTGATCATTATCCTCAGTTTGTATCAGAGAAACCAGGGCAAGGAGCTACCTGCAGTTTTGCTTAACTCGTCAGAGATAACACAAGCAGTTTTTCAAGGGACCTCAGAGTTAACTCAATCTTTGATATCATCAGAGATTAAAACCAAATCTTTCGAATCAGAAGCAGATTCTGTTCCCAGCATCCTTGTGGTTTCCCGGTTATTGACAAATGATTTTTCTATGAAAAAGAATGGAGGAAAGAGGCCTCAAAACAGGGATTCATTATCTACACCTTAAAACAGAGGTTCTACACCAGTGTGCAGATGGTGCATGGCTCTCTTGATGCTCCCTTATTTAAATGTCACCAAGCCTGGGACAGTTCAAAGGCAAAAGAGTTGTCACTGCTGAACATCAGTGAAATCCTGATCAGCCAGGCCACTGTTACACGGCAAGAAATGCTCAGCATCTCCAGCTTCAGATTCAAACACCCCTAAAAGCTACTCTGTGCCTACTGAGGGGTGTGAAGAGGTGACACATGGCCAAGTCTTGAGCCTGGTGATGATGCACTTAGCAAGATGCCGATGAAGAGCTGTGTGTTTCCCTTTGAGCATGTAATTCTTCATTATATTGTACAATTGGATTGCACACCCAGTGAAGCAGAGTGCGAGCTGAAACTGCTGTGGTTTAGCAGAAGCCAGAGAATATTTTCATTTCTGAATTCTCCCCTTGTCACCTCTCTTCTTCACAAATTAAGTTTGTCGGCTCCAACTGAAGTATCTATTTTGTAAGTACTGCAAACCTATAAAATAAGCAGCAGTGGAATAATTCAAGAAGTAACCTGAAAACTCCTTTCCTATCACCAATCCTCATATACTTGTTCAGGTATTAGGTATTCCTGAGATTTGACACAAAACCAAAACTGAAATCCTATCAGGAAAAAGCTGTAGACACATCAACATTACCAATGAAATCCATGATACATATTTGCAAATACACAAACAAACACATATATTTGTGTGTGCCTGAGTAAATCAAAAACATTGCTGTCCTGATGCATACATAAAATGAATCTTTAACAAGGATTGACTTATTTAGAAATGAAAGGAACTGCTAGACCCTCAGGACTGGCAAATTTAATACACAGAGAGGTAATAAGGAAACAAGATTTCATTAACTTGCTCTTTGAAAAAAAATTACCATAAATACTACTGAAAAAAATGTAGTAAAGTTTTAATGATGAGATCTCTGTTGTACTTTTCAAAATTAGACATTAATGCCATTAAAATAATCAGCTAATGAATGTAAATCCTGACAGGTTTGCTCCAAGTCTTCATAACCAAGGAAAAGATAAGCATAATTTATAAGTTATAGACACAGTATCCTTCAGTGCTTGTTTTGAATGACAATTTTCCCATAGAAAGAGCAGAGTCAACATAAAATAAACAAATGTTCAGCTTTCAGACACCTAATATACCCTTAAATATGCCCCAGTTCCTATCTTACCTACAGTATACAATGCTTTTTCTTACAAGTCAGACTGCTTGCTGGACCCATCCAACATAAAGAGCAGCACTGGTCAGTAATGAACCCACAGCCCCTGGCAGTGTGTATTGCCCAATGTCCTACAGATGAAGAATGACCACTGCCCCGCTCACATTTTAGGCATTACACGTGGAGAACTGTAGGATCATTTACTATTATTTTACTTCTTACCTGGCATGTAGCAGGTAGCAAAACCCTTAGAGGTAGTACTTGCAGTCTACCACAGATGCTCAGGGATTGAATTTATCAATTAGAGTCAGCTTTATGAATGTTAGTATTACACACGGGCCAAACCACTCAGCTTATCAGTGCTGCTTAAGCAGACTGCTATATTATGAAACGCATGGCAGAGGGGATTAAATCCTCATTATGAGGCACAGGCTCTGTTCTCAATACTGTGCTATGGCAATTTTTGTTTAAAGAGCTCTAGTGGTACCTTGCTCTTTGTCACTAGATGGCAAATGGCTACATCCCTGTTTCCATTACCTCAAGGTAGGACTGAAATCAATGGGATTAAAAACTGGATTAAAAACTCAGGATTGAACTGCAAGAGATGCTGATTAGCATTCTTGAAGATAGGGCTGGTATCCTTGAGAGAAAAATACATGCTGGCCTCCAGCTGCTCTCAGCTGTCCACTCAGCCCTCACACTCCACAGTATACAACCAAGGGTCTTATCAGCATCACTACCAACTCACTGACTACATATGCTCATGTATTTCTTTCCCTTATATTTGCAAATATGACTATAACTAATCTACATTTAATCCTGTTTCTGAAATATAGCATCAAAAACAATATATCAGATTAAAGTTTAATACCACAACAAACTGCCAAATTAGAGGAATTAGAGGAAAGTGGTTGATAAAAAGCTGAAAATGGTGTTGAATACATTAACATCACTCGTTTGATGTGACCCATATGGCCTGTGTAGGTATGAGCATGCTTTGCTGATGCTACAGATTAATGCTGTTAACACCAGCCCTGCTCTGAGTCCTACTGCACAGCTGGCTTTAGGGCTGCCCTCCAACCCAGCCCCTCTCTCCTTCTCCTACTTCAGTTCCATCTGCTGTCATTTGAGCCTCTTTCACGGGCAATTTGTTCTTCTTAAAAGGAATTATTAAAGACAAAAAGACTGATATGCTGGTTTAAAAAGTTAGATGCTGATGAATGAGTAATCTGAGATGTACATGTCAAAAGGATTTGAACAAAGGCAAGGTGATTAGAAGCTAATCTCCAGTTTGTAAGTGGGAAATAACTAAAATAATGTAATGTAACTGATAAAAGGAATCAGAAATACAAGAAAGATCAATATGGGAGGCAATGAATCATCACAAAGCAATGCAAAGTGCTTTCCAACAGAACAAGATGTTGCAGAAAAAATTAGACAATGCTTTTCATCTCACAAGGAAAACAGAAAGTGAGATGCCAGAAATGAAAAAAATATGTGTCCTGGGGTGGACAGTGAAAAACTGGTGACATTAGCAGCCTCTCCAGAACAAGTCTTGGGTAATTTAAAATCAATAAAAGCAGTCAGAGTCCACAGACCAGATGAAGCAAACTTCGGGATCCTGAAGGAACATGGCAGACAAATTACTGGACTACTATGAATTATCTTTAATAGCTTTTTTGAAACAGTAAGGTATCAATAGGCTGGAGCGAAACTAACAAAATAACAGTTGTAGGAAGGAAACTGCAGAGAGCTATGGACTAAATTTGACCTCCAGAGCAGGCAAGGTCCAAGAAATAGGTTCAGCACAACAAAGTTCTTGCACTTGGGCCAGGGGAATCCCAGCCATCCATACAAACTGGAAAGAGCGGTCCTTGAGAGCAGCCCTGCAGAGAAGGACCTGGGGGTCTTGATAGATTAAAAGCTTAACATGAGCCAGCAGTGTGCCCTTGTGGCTCAGAAAGCAAATGGTATCCTGAGCTCCATCAAAAGAGGGGTGGCCAGCAGGGAGGTGACTGTCCCCTTCTACTCTGCTCTTGTGAGGCCCCATCTGG